AAAGAAAACACTAAAGCCAACAAAATCATGACTCAAAATGTCTAGGAAATTTGGGACATCATGAAAAGACCAAACCTATGAATAATAGGGATAGAAGAAGGGGAAGAATAACAACTCAAAGGCACAGAAAATATTTTCAACAAAATCATGGAAGAAAACTTTCCCAACCTAAAGAAGGAAATGCCTATAAAGATACAAGAAGGTTACAGAACACCAAGTAGACTTGATCCAAAAAAAGTTCTCACACCACATAATAATAAAACCACTAAACATACAGAATAAAGAAAAAATATTAAGAGCTCCAAAGGAAAAAGGCCAAGTAACATATAAAGGCAGACCCATAAGAATAACACCTGACCTCTCAATGGAGACTCTAAAAGTCAGAAGGTTTTCATGCAAACATTATACAGACACTAAGAGACCATGGATGCCAACCCAGACTATTATACCCAGCAAAACTCTCAATCAACATTCAATCACTGTTTCTTTTCATAAACATTGCTTCTTTCCTCATTCCACTGAATGCAAATGGATACACAAATGCTCAATTCTCAAGCACATTGCACATATACTTCTTGGTCATTGATGTTCAAGGAGTCTCAATACACACAGCACTTTTAGCATGAAGTGTCTTGTCAATAATTGTAACTGGAGCAGCTGATTGGACCAACACAATTCTTCACAGACTTGGAAACAACAATACTTAACTTTATATGGAAAAACAAAAAAACCTAGGTTTTGATTGAAGATAATGGAAATAATGCTGTTATTAATTATAAGCACAACTGTTTTGGTGTGTATATGTGTGTATTTATGTTGGGTAAAATAGATTAAAATTAATGAACAACATGGTAAAAAATTGTAAATGAACCTTTTTATCCTCACAGATGTGTTGAGATAGGTTCACTGGCTTCATCTTCCTGGGAATGTGTCTGGCCTCTCAGTAAGCACAACTCGAGGTAGGTAGGACTTTAAAAAGCTTCCAGTGATGTTGTGTTTTTACTTGCCCAATGTTTGGCACTGTGTGTCCCAATCAATTCATATCCTATATATATGATAATTATATGGAGAACTTAAAAAAGTTCCCAAGGAGCCTGTTGTCTTGGGGCATGTTTTTAGTCCCAGCACTGAGGAGGCTGAAGTAAAGGAACTCTGTGATTTCAAGGTTAGCATGATCTATATAGCAAATGCCAGAACTATATTGAGAGACCATATCTCAAAAAAACAAAACAAAATGAAACAAAGACACAATTAAAAAAACCCAAAACTTCCAAGGACATTACATTTTCACCTGTTCTTTTTTGAAAGTGTGAATCCTTGATGTCATATTTTCTACAAGAATGTTTGTCAGATGGAGCAGCAAAAATATAAATAAAGAATGTTTGTGATAGTGCTCTGATAGCTACTCAGTGAACTCACATATCAGTCAACATCAATGTTCACAAATATTGGATGGTGTTTGTTGGGATCATGGTCTCAAACTGTGATTCCATGAGTTTTGTGTAGACACCAGCTTCATTCATTCAAAAAACTGAACACAAACATCATTCTCTCTCTCTCTCTCTCTCTCTCTCTCTCTCTCTCTCTCTCTCTCTCTCTCATTATTCCCTTTCTTTATCTGTTTGTTCCTTTGTTCCTTTCTTCTCTTCTATCCTTTCTTCCTTCCTTCTTTCTTTTTTCACATTTGTCAATGACATACTTTTCCTATGAATGAAGCAAAAAGCATAACCCTATATCTTAGAGAATTTTTACAAATAAAATACAACTTGGAATACAATAGGTACAGCAAAAACTATTCAGTAAGGTTCTCAACAGTTTCCTTGAACTACTTTAGCAAAATCAGACCTGTGTTGCTTCTTTGAAGGAACATACTTATTGGTAACATTTAAGAGGTCAGCACACATTTTCCTTGGTTGTGGTTGTACATTTTGATTACTGATGTTTATGTTAGTGCATATGACTTTGGGAATGTATTATTATCTTCCTAACCATTGGCATGAAAAAAAATTTTTTGAAATGATCTAAAAATTTTGATATCTAGAAAAACACTTGAGAGTAACTCCTTAGAGGGCCAAATAGTAGGAAAACAACCAGTGTGGGTTGCATTTTGTATCAGTTACTCCTACTTACTACAATAAGACCATTTTTGAGACAGATTTTTTTATTACTACTTGTTATGGAATCCTTTATGAGAGGACTCAGATTTTGAGAAATGACAAGTGGCCCTATGCTAGTTTGTAAAATGGCAGTGGTCCATTGTTGTTAGTGGAGGTTTTTGGGATGGCCTGCTCTTAGAATACTGTATTCAGCCCTGTCTTTGGACTTTTAGTGTGTTAACATAGTTGCATTTGCTTGTACTCAGGGTTATGTTTTATTTTGTTCAAAGATGACTCTTCTCACTCTTTGGTTTTCTTGCAATCTTTCTTCTCTTTAGTCATCAATTTCCAAAAGTTTTTTTTTTTTTTTCCATTTCTGGGCAATTTCAGTATCATACCTTTCCTAATCCCTGTGGATCACATGAGTTGGAGGAGAGACAACTTCTTTCATCACTCTTGGTTCCGTACTTCCATCCTCTCCATAGTAACAATTGCCTCCAGAAAAGTCTGGAACGTGCTTATTCTTTTTACTGTGCCTATAACAGTCCTCTACTTTTTTTTCACAAAAGATACACTATGTCCTCATTTGCCTTCTCCTGAATGCCTCATCTCAACCTGAATTACCTGATTCTCCTGATTTTCTGAGATGATAGGGGATCTCCAAGGTTGAAATTGATCTGTAGAATTATATTTTGTGCTCATAAGTTAATTGATCATGGGCTGCTATTGGGCATTTCTAGGTAATCTGCAGGTAAAAGCTTCCATGATTGTTACTGGATGATGTAAAAACTAAGCTCATGTATGTGATTATTCTTTAAAGTGGGATGATTGGAGACTTTTTTACTTTCCCCTTCCATGTGAGCATGTGTGTTCGTGTCACATTATTCAGATTTTTTATGCAGCCATCTTGAGACTTCATAGGCATGGCTTTCCCAACATTTTAGAAGATGCAATCTCACAACAGATACATCTTTCTATGGCTCTTAAAAATCTTTCTGCCTCTGCTATCACAATGTTCCTTGAGCCTTGAATGCAGGAGTTGTATTGTGGGTGTATCACTGGGACTTGGCACAACACAACAACACCATTAGTTGTTGTCTGTTTTTGATCACTCATGCTTTTTCTGTTTTTTACCTTTGGATTAGCTGTATTTTCTTTGTAATGAACTATTGCATTGAGAAGTTTTTTTTTCCTTTAGTGATTAGAGCTACAAGTAATGAAGGAATTGCTTTGAGTACAAGAAAATAGGCCCTACATTTTTATCTAGCACCAAATTTTAAACACTGAAATTATGTATGTACAAGTAACATTAGATAGAATGAGCTGATTTTATATATATATATAATTATCTGTGTGTATATATATATATATATATATATATGTACAAAAACATAGACATATATACATTTACATGTAACAACAATTAAAGAAAAAGAGGCCATTGGCCAAGAATTTAAGAGTTTGGGTTTGTGTAGGTACTGGGAAGTAGTTGGAGGGAAGAAAGGCACAATGATGCAATGATATTTTTATTTCAAAAATTAAAGAGATGCAACTATAACTTATAAAAATTATTTACCTTCTATAACACAGATAAAATTATAATTCTACACATTGCATCTTCTCAAAATAGTTAAATACAGAATAGAATGTTGGAAAAAATTTTAGAGTGTGATTATTGGTGGGTAGGGTTATGTTTGTCCCACTTAAGCAAATGTGTCCCTTACATCAATGTTTGTACTAGCATTCACAGACATTTGCAAGGCCTGAGATTCCTGGTTTCTCAATAAAAATCCCCAAATTTGGTACTGTCAACATTTTCTTCTTTACTTTATATTGATTATATTTTTATTTTGTTTGGATTTATTTTTATTTTTTATGTTTTGCTAGGTTACAAAGTAGCAAGTTTCCTTAAGGCATTTTCATACTTACTATTTTGATAGACCCAACCCCTCTGCTTCCCCCATTTATCTTCTGTCATCCAGCTTTTAAAGTCCAGGGTACACAATTCATTCCTTCACTTTCAAAACACATGTGTTGTTTTACCATCCTGATCACACTTTGAGATACTCTTATGGACCCCTTTCAAGTTTCCGGGATGCTATCCACATTCACTCCCATATTAACACACATTTCTTAAAAATTAGAAGCTGTGAAGTCATATTCATGACAGTGGTATCTGCCTTTCCTGGCCTGTATTGCATCATTTAACAGAGTATTTTCTATGTCTTCTGCAGCCATATCCTAGGGTGTTCTACATGAAAGTGCACAGGGAAGTAGAGCCTATCTTTAGTAGTTCCTAAGGTCTCAGCTCATCTCTCCATTCTGTATAAACTTCTTCAGAATAGTATAAAATTCTTCTAGAATAGACTACAATGTCAATTATACCCCGGCTCTTGATTGACAGCTGACTGTCCCTGCATGCGTGATAAGTGTGAGGGACAAGAGTGATCTACCTGGGGCTGCACAGTACAGCCAGCTGGTTTGTGTCTGTTCTTAAAGTTGATTTCTTTTACAACATGATTAGCAAATATGAGTATATTCTGAAAGACTTACTTTAAGTTTGTTTTCACTCCCTGTAACATTCCTTTTTCAAATGGATCAACATCCCATCATCCTGATTGTTGCATTTTCTAGGAAAGTTGATGGTTATTCTTCCAGTAACACTTGCATTCTGAAGAACTGAGAAATTTCAAAGTAACAAACATGGAAAGTAACTACTCATGTCAAAATTGTGGGAATAAGGTATTTTTGTGTGTTATATGCTGGCCTTGAACTTATGAATTTAAGGGACCCTCGGTTTTGACCTCTATATAGCTCCATGGATTAATGGCATCTTCCTTCACCTCTGGCTACTATCGTTTGCCATTATTCATTTGAGCTGAGAAATAGTGTGGCCATATTCTTAAGGATATTGTACTGAAACACAGAATGGATATCTGGAATCTGACTATCAGAATCATTTTCTTATCACAAACTACCACTGGAATTCTAGGAAATCTCTTTCTTATGTTCTACTATCTAGACTCTTACTACAGAGAACACACATTAAAGACCACAGATTTGATTCTCATGCATCTAATGGTAGCCAATGCCTTGGTTATTCTCTCTGCAGGAGTACCCCAAACAATGGTAGTTTGGGGATTAAAGCAGTTCTTGAATGATTTTGGATGTGAGCTCCTACTGTACATTCAAGGATTTGCTCGAAGTATGTCCATGGGCACCACCTGCCTCTTGAGTGTCTTCCAGTGCATGATCATCAGTTCTAGGAAATCCTGTTGGAATGATAACAAAGTCAAAGCTTCAAAGTACATTGACTGCTCCATTTCCCTACTTTGGGTATTCTACATGGTGATACGTTTCATTTTTCTTATGTACACATTTATCAAAATGAATAGCAAAAACATGACAAGAAATCGAGATTTTGGATATTGCTCTACTACAGGACATGATGAAATCATTGACTCACTCTATACAACATTGGTGATGTGCCCTGAATTATTTTTTGCTGTGCTCATTACCTGGTCCAGTGCCTCAATGATTGTCATTCTCTACAGACACAAGCAGAGGGTTCAAAATATCCGTAGCTGTCATGGTTCTAGTAGAAACTCCCCTGAGTCCAGAGCAACACAGAACATCCTGGTCCTGGTGTCTACCTTTCTGGCTTTTTATACTCTGTCCACCATCTTGCGAGGCTGCATTGCTCTATTGTATAATCCCAGTTGGTGGCTGGTGTACATTTCTCGCCTCACTTCTCTTTGTTTTCCATGTTTTGGACCCTTTGTTTTTATGAGACATTACTCAGTTTTGTCCATATTCAGTTTGGTATGGTTAAGAAAAAAATGTTCTCATAATTTTATCATAACAATGTAAAATATAAGTTTTTCTTATCTTCCACATTTTACTCAATTATTACCTTATGAATTCAACAAAGAAAGTTAAGGCTTTAGCATCTAGTCTTCCTAAGACTGCTAAAAATGAGTACAGGAATTTTGTCAGATGGTTGAATTAGAAGCCTACATGAGCTGATGATACTGTGTTTAGCACACTGTAATCTTTCAGATATTAGAGTTTTTCCTTTGCCCAGATGATGCATAAAGAAGCCAGTAAGTTGTTGCCAATAGAGCTAAGTTTCTTGTGGCTCTCTTCCTCTCATGGAATCTTGACTGCCTGTTTGCTGCTGTACAGACACCTGTATATACTGCACTCTAACTGCAAGGCAGACTGAAACCATGGTAGGCCATATATTGTGGTCCTGGTGAACCTTGTCCCATGACAGCTGCTCTAGTATGCTCCAGGACCAGAAATCTTCTTCAGTGATCATTTCCCAGATACTTTGATTTCAGCTGCACCGGAAAACAAACAAACAAACAAACAAAAAAAATGTTTGGCTGTTCTTAACCTTGTAGCTACAATCCTCAACAAAGTCTGTGAAGATGAGCATCTTCTTTAGCCACATAGAACAAAAATTATGACTACTATCTTTCACTTTGTACCAAAACTGATTAAAAACGAATGATGCTTATGAGATAATCTTTAATTTTGTTAGATAGTGTTCTTTCCTTTTTACTTTGTATTACACATAGATTTTTTTCTCATACTATATTACCTAATTACAGTTTCCTCTCACCTTACTCTTCTTAGTTACACCCACATCCTCTCCCATATAAATCTATTCCCTTTTGGTTTCTCATTAGAAAAATGAGGCTTCAGAGAGATAACTAAAAAAAACTTAACACAATAAAATATAATAAGAAATATGGCTGCATTCCTGCTGAGCTGCATCTGGCCTGGCTCCAGAGAGTAGCACCTAGCCTTAGTCCATCTTTTGTTTAGCAGACATCTTTTGTTTCTCTTATCCTCTCTGAGAATCTTGTCTCAGAGTCTCCCAAGGATACAAAGGTCTATGTAAAACTTGGTTCAGGAAATTTGGAAAACCATGGTACCTAAGAAATTGAGGAATTTGCACTTGGCATTGTATTGTTGGGAGCTCCTTTTAAGGTTATTTTGAGCATATGAAAATTATCTGGCTAAACTGTAATGGATAGAAATGCCTGAGGCAAAAGGAAGGGGCTTCAGTTCTTTGAGGCTAGACCCCTTACAGCCATGAAAGCCTAGATTCATCCTTAAGATTACGCTGAGTCTTTTACCTGAACCCACACACCAATGTAACAACACACAGTGACATTTGGCACCCAATGTGGGCCTTGAAGAAGGACAAAGAATCTGAAGAAGGACAGAAGAACTGGCCGTCTTAAGAACTGGAGGGTGCATTCTCAGGGTAAGAAGACTCTAGGATTGGCAGGGTCATAAGGAATTTAAACTCCCCATCTCAGGAGCAATAACATGTATGGTTGCTAATGTTTGTCAAAATAAAAAGTGATAACTGCACAATTTTTAAAGATAGAAATACAATGGTTCCTGAAACAGGAAATAAATCAAGAAAAAGACCTTTCTCAATAGATAAAAGGGAAAGGAAAAAATTAAAAAAAGAAATCTCCCAACGGGGAAGAGGGAAGGAAAGGAAATAAAAGAAAATTTCCAAATAGAAAAAGGAGAAAATTTTAATCAAGAAAAAAGGATTTTTCTGGAAAAAGGGTAAAAATGTTAAAACTAGGCTTTAAGATTATAGGCCCTGTAAAAGAAAAAGAAAGGAAAGAAAAAAGCCTCTTCCCGGTAGTAATAATGGAAGAAAAGGCTCTTTCCTATATAAAAATTTCAGGATAGCTAAAATTCTGAGCTCTTTCTAACTGGGAGCACAGAATGCTGGCATCTGAATTACAAAGAATCAACAGGTGGGCTCACTGCAGCAGCCTGAACATTAAGCCCAGAGTATAGACTTCTATTGTCTGGTTGCTTAACTTTGGTTTAAATGTTTTTTATTTTTCCCTCAGAGTGGGAATTACTCAATGTTAAAAATCCTTTCCTGGGAAATATTTTCTGTTTTCCCCTTATGATGGGAATAACTCATTATTAGTATTCCCTTCATGTGAGAAAGAGGAAGTTTAAATGGGCTCAACTTCTGGTGAAGAATGGTTTCGGTCAGGACATGGAATGCTAAGTCAATGCAATTTGAGTTTCCAGAGGTATTAATCATTCAGTGTATAGAGGATATTCTTCTCTTTTGATTGATGTTTGGATGAATGTTTGATTTTCATGGTAGGTAAGCTAAAGGAACAGGATTCCCAATTTTAAACTATAAATTGGGTATGCTCTTATCTGTTGATCATAATTGATAATTTGGCTCTGCTCTTTAAGTTGCTTTCTAGAAATTCTTGATTAAATTATATAGAAGTATAACACCTTAAACAGATTATGTTGTTAGCTTATTAAATAATGCTTTATACTTCTCAGTAATGTTGGTATATTATGTCTGCACAAGTTACTTTTCTAAAGCTAGGGACAAAATACCTGAAAGAACAAAATGCTGGGTGTTTTATTTTGCTCTTATTTGAAGCCTGCCGAGGAGCTGGCTTGTACTCTGAGCCCTTTGTCAGGTCTCATGAAGCTTGTGTCCTAGAATCCTAGAAAGTGGGTAAAGGAATGAAGAAAGGACAGATTCACAGACACACATACAATGAATTTAAGATGGAGTGGTGTTCTCTTGTCCAGCTACCACTGCAACCTGGAACCTTATCATATTCACTAAGTACAACCCATGGCAAAATGTGACTTTTCTCTATAAAGGTGTCTGTTTGTGAGCAGTCACAGGCTGTTAATATCTGAGCTGAGGAAATCCTACTTGTCAATTTTCTCACACACAGGCATTTATTCACAAACTCTCAGAATCCAAAGGGAAGCTTTGCCAATTCTCTTTAACCTAGCTCATATGGATAATGGTTATTCCAATTTACCATACACCAATTCGTGGCAGAATCCTTAAGAGAGCATGTCTGTGCCAAAATACATTTTGTCTGGTGCTGTGGGATGTTCTGTATGGCAAATGTGTTGCTCTGATTGGTTAGTAAATAAAAAACTGATTGGCCAGTAGTCAGACAAGAGGAAGTATAGGCAGGACAAGAAGAAGAATTCTGGGAAGTGGAAGGCTGAGTCAGAGACACTGCCAGCTGCCATGACAGACAGCATGTGAAGATGCCGGTAAGCCACGAGCCATGTGGCAAGGTATAGATATATAGAAATGGATTAATTTAAGAGAACAGTTAGCAAGAAGCCTGCCACGGCCATACAGTTTGTAAGCAATATAAGTCTATGTGTTTACTTGGTTGGGTCTGAGCGGCTGTGGGACTGGCGGGTGAGAGCGAGATTTGTTCTGACTGTGGGCCAGGCAGGAAAACTCTAGCTACAAATGGTGCCCAACATGTTGGCAAGTGTTTCCACCTAAAACTTGAGAAAAGATTCTAAAACAGAGCTAAAAACAGCTTCCTAATTGTCTCTCTCAAATGAGTGGCAGCTGCCGGTTTGAGCTACTGGTAGGTTCCTAATGTGCGCACTCGACCTGCCTTATGGTGGGAATGAGGCCTCTGCAAGTGGCACATTAAGCTGCGTGGTGGATTTAGCCTTTGCTAGTACAAAACAAAAAAGAGGTTTCTGGGCTACATGCTGCTTGGATAAAAGCATAGAGCCACTATAGCTCCCAGAGCTGGCGGAAAACGTACCACCGCCATGTTGGGAAGCTGAGGTGGGCAGAGCCAGCAGCCATAGCGCCATTTCAGTCTTACAAATGCTGCAGTTTAAAGCAATAGATTCACAATAAGACAGATTCAGATGTAATAGTTTATAATGTGTATAAAATATATGTAGGCTTGAAAGAGACAAAAAAGGTGATATGTACAGTTATATAAACAAATACACAGTTTTAAAAAATAAAGTCTTTAAAGAGACAGTAAAATTAATATTAAAATAAGCCACATAAAGATGAATATTACACAGAGAATCTGGATTGTGTTGTCTTTGGGATTTTTAACTGCAGAAAAATATTTGATTGTAAAAGTTGTTGAGTTATGCCAAAATGTAAATTTTAAAGGTACCTTGACTTCAAAATTTGGATATAAGGATAAGTTGCTTTGGAAAAGAGTCTCTGCTTTTGTTTCCACAGAAAGCAAGAGGCTATGGGTTTGTTCCAGATTAAGATACATCAGGTTTGACCAGCCAAGACCCCCTGAAAGGTCTCCGATGACACTATGGCCCAGATGATCCAACATCCAGAATAGTTTGAAGGCAACTGGCTCAGACAATACAGCCTCATGGACTATTCCATAATTCTAAAATTTTCTTTGTGTCCCCATAAGATACAGCGCCCCCCTCCAGCAGGAAGTATTAAGAGAAGCTATGCCCAAATTCCCAAATTATATGTAATTTTACTTTGTTAAGGTTAAAACCTTCCGTTTTGAAAAAAAGGGAAAAAGAAAAGGGGAAGTGCTGTGGGATGTTGTGCAATGCAAATGTGTTGCTCTGATTGGTTAGTAAATAAAACACCGATTGGCCAGTAGTCAGGCAGGTGGAAGTATAGGCAGGACAAGGAGGAGAAGAATCCTGGGAAGTGGAAGGCTGAGTCAGAGACACTGCCAGCCGCCATGACGGACAGCATGTGAAGATGCCGGTAAGCCATGAGCCATGTGGCAAGGTATAGATTTATAGAAATGGATTAATTTAAGCTATAAGAACAGTTAGCAAGAAGCCTGCCACGGCCATACAGTTTGTAACCAATATAAGTCTCTGTGTTTACTTGGTTGTGTCTAAGGAGCTGTGGGACTGGCGGGTGAGAGACATTTGTCCTGACTGTGGGCCAGGCAGGAAAACTCTAGCTACAGTCTGGCCTTGGTTTCAGGTATACAATGACTGCATAAAAAATTTGAAATATTTTTGCATTGTAGAGGGAATTCATTTCTTGTGCTTGACACTGAGCCAACTAC